CCAACAAAAGTCCATCTAGTCAAGGCTATGGTTTTTCCAGTAGTCGTGTATGGATGTGAGAGTTGGAATATAGAGAAAGCTGAGTGCTGAAGAACTGATGCTTTTGAACTGTGGTGTGAAGACTCGTGAGAGTCTCTTGGACTAAGAGGAGATCAAACCAGTCCATTCTAAAGGAAATCAGTCCTGGGTGTTCATTGGAAGGACTGATGTTGAAGCTGAAACTCCAATACTTTGCCCACCTGATGCAAAGAACTGACTCATTTGAAAAGACCCTGATGCTGGGAAAGATTGAGGGCAGAAGGAGAAGGGGACAACAGAGGATGAGATTCTTGGATGGCATCACCAATGCGATGGACATGAGTTTTAGTAGGCTCTGGGAGTTGGTGTTGGAGGTCTGGTGTGCTGCAGTCCATGGGATCACAAAAAGTGAGACATGACTAAGCAACTGAACTGAACTAACTGAACTGAATGTGCATCCCAAAAGGAACTTTAGGTTTCGTTTGCTTGAAATAAATCATCTACTGTAAAATCTGTTTCTGACTTGACTTTCTGTGAAGCTAAATGTAATCACCTAATTACAGATACTGTTACCAAAACACAAGTCCGTGTGCTTGACACACAGTGAGGCCAAACAATACCTTTAATAATATTAATGGTCTTGTAACATTTGCCTGGCAAAAGCATAGGCAATAACAGCCCACAGTATCCGCCACATGGAACAGAGAAAGGTGTACTGAGGGCCCTGAAAGGAGATGGGTGGCTCATGCCTTAAAAACCCCAAACTCTCCAAAAGTTCTCAGCAAAGCTGTTTCCTAGGAAAGGTAAGGGAGGGTGTGGTGAGTTGCTGCAAACTTCCTGGTGTCAGATACTGTGTTCTTGACATCAGGTAATGGTCAGGTAATTTGCATGTTTGCTCAGCTGCTCAGTCCGAGTCTTTGTGATCCCATGAACTGTAACCCATCAGGCTCCTCTCCATGGGATTTCCCAGGCAAGAATACTGGACTGGGTTGCCATTTCCTTCTCTAGCAGATGTCCCCAACCCAAGGATCGAACCAGCATCTGGTCAGGTAACATGTTCCTGCCAACCTCCACCAAACAAATGTTATTTTCTGTTCTGACAACAAAGGGCCAGGTCCCCAAACACAATGTTCCCCCTCCAAGGTCCGTGCCTGGCTGAGAGGAGGCAGATCTCAGCTGGCAGCTCCCTCAGGACCCAGTCCCCAGGCCCCACCCAGCCATCATCATTGACAGAGCCAGGTACCCAGGACCCAACTGGCCCTCGGCCTCCTCAGGCTGCCCAGAGGGTGGGGGCTGGGCCCACAAACCAGGTCCCTGGCAGACAGCTCCCGCCATTAGGTTGCAGAGCAGAGACAGGGAAGAGGTTCACCAATGCCTCAAGGCCTGGGCCTGGCCAGTGGGTGGCCTTGGCGAGGGCTCTGGAGACTAGCAGACCACAGCTTCAGTCTGTTCCCTGGGCCCCCCAGGTCAGCTGCCAGCTATAAGCCATGTGAGCTGGAGAGCCCCTGGGAGAAGGCCAGGAGCCACCTCTTACCTCACACTCCAATCGACCACTCCACCGGCCAAGTGGAACGGCCCCGCTAACGGTCGCTCAGTGACAGTTGCTCGTTTGGGGGAGGGGCCCACTGTGGTGCCTGACCAATGGCTGAGCGACTGCTATCAGTCTCATGGGTAACCGTTGCCAGGTAACAGTGTGACAGACACAGCAACAGCCTGTGCTGATGGCGGCACCTGGCCCTCCTCTATTATAGCATCATCTGATATGTAGGTAAAGGCATAGTTTTAACTATTAATACGATGCTTCTCATTAGAGTTGTGAAGGGTTTCCCCTCCAGAGAGCTGAGTCAATGCTAAGGTTGTTTTCTTCTTCATTCTACTGCTTGCCTTCTGCAAGTCTACCCACATTTTATGTTTCTGCCTTTTTCCTACATGTGTGTACGCTTAGTAGTGGTAGAAAGAAATGACTCCAGGGGTTCCTGTGTCAACTGCGGATCTCTTCACACATTGAGATGGTTTGTTTCCTATCCTTATGAAAACCCTTTAGCACTTCACCACTTCTTAGCACTGTGAGTTTGGCCACATCACAACCTCTCTGTGCCTCAATTCCTATAAGCATAAAAAGGATTTTTTTCTACTCATTTCATAGGGCAGTTGTGAGGACAATTCAGTAAGTAAATACACAGATAAAACTTTGCACAGTACTTGATACTTGTTGAAATCTGAAAGTGTCAGTTGCTCAGTCTTGTCTAACTCTTTGCAACCCTATGGACTATAGCCCATCATGCCCCTCTGTCCACGGGATTTCTCAGGCAAGAATACTGGAGTGGGTTGCCATTTCTTTCACCAGGGGATCTTACTGACCCAGGAATCGAACCCAGGCCTCTCGCATTGCAGGCAGATTCTTTACCGTCTGAGCCACCAGAGAATACTTGTTAGCTATTATTATCATCATTATAATTGACTTGTGGAGGACCTGACTTACTTGCAAAATATCACCAAGATATCATCTAAGAAACAAAACCCACATTTTGAGACTTTTAGGGTTGGTATGGAGAATCTGAGATATTTAAAATGTACTTCAAAGAAACTAAGTGATTTGCCTAAACTCCTGTTTAGTAGGAATTGGTCCATCAAATACATGTTCAATTTAACTAAGTAATAATGCTGCTTACACTTTATTAATAGCTGCTATTGCTGCTAAGTCGCTTCAGTTGTGTCCGACTCTGTATGACCCTATAGACAGAAGCCCACCAGGCTCTGCCGTCCCTGGGATTCTCCAGGCAAGAACACTGGAGTGGGTTGTCATTTCCTTCTCCAATGCATGAAAGTGAAAAGTGAAAGGGAAGTCGCTGAGTTGTGTCCGACTCTTAGTGACCCCATGGTCGCTAAGAAAATCCATGGGATTTTCCAGGCAAGAGTACCGGAGTGGGGTGCCATTGCCTTCTCCATATTAATAGCTACCATTTTCCAAAGTTTTTCCATATGCCATGACTATTAAAATAAGTTGTTCATTGTGCCACATGCCATGACGACTAAAATGAAAAGTTATTTCAGTGGTTCCAGCATTCTGGATTTAATGAATCAGTAAATTTTTTTTAACATCGGGTTGTTTTTTAAAAATTAATTCATTTAAATTGAACATATTCTATTTTAGGAGAAAATCATTATATGTCACTCATTATTTTTTCTCTGGTTAAAAACTGATACAAATATCATGATAAATCAGATTGAATAATAGGTCCAGGAACTAGAAACTCTTGACTTCTTGGTCAAAAATTTTATAGCACTTCAAAAATGGAGATAGATATATATCCTATAACACAAAATTCACCATTTTGAAGTGTACACTTCAGTGGATTTTAGTATATTCATTATACTGCAACCATCATCACTATCCGGTTCCATAGGACTTTCATCACTCCACAAAGAAACCTTCCACTTATGAGAAATTAGTCCCAAATCTCCCTTATCCATCTCTTAGTAGGCATTAATGTCTCTGTCTCTTCAGATATGTCCTTTGGAATATCTTTTATCTATGCACAAAATGGCTGTCTCAGACATGTGATCTGGTTTTCATTCTTTGCTGCCTAAATGAAACTGCCTGCCCAAAACTTCGCCTTGGTGGGTGGTTGCCAGGAGCATATGTAATATGTATAACAGAGGGTACAGTAGAGAGTATGAAACTCTAAAAGACCTCACTGTCTACATTTACTTCCAATTTTAAATTTTCCTCATCTTTTCTTTCAGTAATTTGGTATTTAGTTATATAACATGCCAAATTACATACACCTTGAACTTAATTTGAAGTCAGCTAATGTTTTCAGTAATCAATACAAATAAAAACAGTATTATAAGAACCATTTTATTTTTAAAAAATTTATGTCTAAGTTCCCAAATTCTGGTCCAAATTTGTGCTCTTATTTCATTGCTCCATCATCTGTATGTGCGCACACATTCTGTTCATTTCTCAGACAATTTTATTTTAAAATAGAGATTCAAATGTATTACATTTCACTAAGATTTACCTGTTTACATGTCTCTGAGTGGGATATGAACTCCTTGAAGGAAGGCCTTTGTCTATGTTTGATTTTCAGCACACTGCCTGGTACACGGTAAAAAATAATGTTGAATGAAGGAATGTGATTTAAATACATAAACAATGCATCAAAACCTACAATAGTACCCAATTATACACATACACATATAATTGGATATTATAAAACAACTCCTCTATAATACTACCTGTTAGTTGCTTAGTTACATCCACTCTTTGCAACCCGTGGACTGTAGCCCACCAGGCTCCTCTGTCCATGGAATTCTCCAGGCAAGAATACTGCAGTGGGTAGTTATTCCCTTCTCCAGGGGATCTTCCCAACCCAGGGATAGAACCCAGGTCTCCTGCATTACAGGCAGATTCTTTACCAGCTGAGCCACCAGGGAAGCCCAATATTGTATACTATGTATACACATATCATCTAATGTTTTATGTAGTTCACAACTATATTTAAAATACTACTCAATATTTGAAAAATTCAAAATGACATATTTAGAACACCATAAAATGTCACATGTATAGAGTTTTACATAGTATTCTAATACCTTGTAAATTAGTTATTACATACACATATACCCAGCACACTGTTCAGCAGTGTATTTACCATAGTTTAAGCACAAGACAGAAGAAAATTGAACAATGAAAAAGCTTGGAGATTAAGGTCAGGCAAACAAGCCTGCATTTGGATTGTTTAGCACTACCTGAGTGATGCAGGCTATTCTTTCTGAGTCTGAATTTTTTGTGCTGTGGAGACATTTAATTTCATGGTTAGAGAACTGGTTTAAGGGTGGAGTTAATCTAAGTTAAGAACCTGCACTTGGCCGACCTCTGACGAACTTTAGCAAACACTTCATCCCTCAGCCTAAACCAAGTAACGGGGTTTATTTTTTCCACACATTAAGAGTCTTTTCCAGTCAGGGAAACCTACCGTGTTTCTCAATCTGTCAGGTCAGAGAATCCGGGTAAAATGGTAAAGGCACAAAACAATCCATCTTTCTAACTCTGAGTAACTGCTAAACCCGCAGGAAGCGCTGGGCGGACCTCCAGTATCCCAGCATTCCTTGCGCTAACCGGTTGCTCTTCTCCCCTATCTCTATGGTAGAGTCAGCATAGAGGCGGCAACTGCAACGGCGGAGCTTGCTGCGGTGAGCAAGAACGAGGGTTCGAACTCTCTTACTCGCCTGAGAGCTTTTGGGCTCGTGGGGTCACGATGTCAGAGAAAAAGCAGCCGGTAGACTTGGGTCTCCTGGAGGAGGACGACGAGTTCGAGGAGTTCCCTGCGGAAGGTAGGCCGCGGCCCCTGGACCTCGTGGACCGTGACTCAGGCCTCCGAGTGGAGGCGGTGCGAGAGAAGGGCCCGGCCGGGGGCCGCCGGTGGGAAGTGAGGGCCGTGCTGTTGGGACTCGAGGCCCTGCTCGCTCGACCGGTCACGGCTGGCTTCGGGTCGGAGTGTCTCGGTGGGATTCACCTCAGCAGTGAGGCTAAATGCTCTGTTTCCTCACTGGGAGCAACCACGGTGGTTCCCCAACCCAAATCCGGGGTGGTGTGTCCTATTACGCTTCAGCTCGGTTACCCGCCGCCTCGTTCGTATCTACATAATCTCTTTTCCCTTTATTTATTGTTGTCGTTATTTTATTATTTGTTTTAGCAGTCTTCCTTTGCCTTGAACCGTTCCAGAGTTAAATTGTTCCTAGTTAGACCAGTGCTGCTTGCTTTCAGGATTTCACACATGAAGAATGGGAGGATCAGGTGTTGATGCTTAATACCCGTTATTGCCTTTCCCTTGTTCCTCATTCATTTTTGATCACTTAAAGTTTTAGGATTTATAAAACCCTAAGACGTGTGCATTTTTGTTAGCTTCTAGGTTGCCAAGAGGAACTTGAGTTATGTCATTGTAGGTAATAGCAAATAGGTAACAGTGACTGGTTGCTTGTCTTGAGTCTTTTGCTTATATTAACTTAATTCATCTTCACAAGTCTAGTAAGTAGGAACTGGTATTAACATTTTTCAGATAAACAAACAGAAGCTTAGAAAAGTTAAGAAACTTGCCCAATGTTGCATAACTGGCTCGAAAAAATGGACAGCTGGTTCAGTTGACACAAGCACTCTTTAACTCTTTAGCGGTAGAGCTTCTGTTTGTTAGATCGTTTGCCAGTTAGATTTCCAAAAATAATTGGTTTTTACCAACTAATTGTTATGCATAGGATAAATATTTGTCTCCTAATGAAAGGAGTGGCCTTTCTGAAAGTGGTAGAGAATTGGGGTTGATGGTGAACAAATCTGCATCACCACAATCTTCCTAAGACTCCTACTGTGCATAAAACCACATAGCTGTAACATTTGTTATTTTTATTTATAGTGTATTCTGTTTAGTGGAAGAAGACATTAGAGCACATACTACACAAATTCATAAACTAACTCAAAAGTACATTTATTTTCAGTTCTGGAATTCATTTTGTATTGTTTTTTGTTTTGGTAGTGGATTATATTTTCTTGATCTCACTTTCAAGTTGGTTCATAATCCTCAACTGTGAGCTGCCTAGTAGAAAATTGGCTTATTGAGATTAGTATCTGCTTATAACTCAAACTTAATATTTGATATAGTTAGCATTTATTCATTGTTTATCAGATACAAGATACAATATTAGGCACTTTATCTGCATTTTATACTCTAATTTTCATAACTCTAAGGAAACTGAGGCTCAGAGATTGTAAAAGCGTGTCATTAAGTGGTTGTCAGGATCTGAATCTGGGTCCCCAACCCAAGCAAAGTTCAGCCTAAATCCCTAACGTTTAGCAAAGTGCCTGGGACATGGTAGATGGTCAGTAAATGCTTGTTGAATGAATGAACCTGTTTTTAAGATAAGTACTTGAGAATTGACTGATTAAAAAGTATGGTGGCTCAGATGGTAAAGCATCTCCCGCATGGGAGACCTAGGTTCGATCCCTGGGTTGGGAAGATCCCCTGGAGAAGGAAATGGCACCCCACTCCAGTACCCTTGCCTGGAAAATTCCATGGACAGAGGAGCCTGGTGGGCTACAGTCTCTGGGGTTGCAAAGAGGCAGACGGGACTGAGCGACTTCTCTTTCACTTCTTCAAAGATAATTGTGTACCTGATGATACATTTGATGTTTCAGCAACTTTCATCAGTTTTTGCAGAATATGTTATTTTTGTACTAATTTTATTTTGTCAGCATCAATTTATCCAAAATATTGGTAGTTACATCATATGTTAAAAAAATCTTATTAAAGTTAGAAGGGAAAGCAAAGAATATTTTTCCCTCTGGACAGACTGGTTTTCTTTCTCAACTGATTTGTTAGCATAAGTAACTCAACCATTTATTGGTCACCTTACAGAAAATTTATCATCTTCAGGTTTGAATATGTGGAACTTAATTCATTCAGGAAACTTTCTGTTTAGAATGAGAAATAACATTTGCATGTTCATATTTTTTATGTTCTCCAGCTTATAATTCAAACAGGTAAAGTCAGAGAAGTACTGTTCAAAGCAGTACTTTGAAACTGGCCCGTTTTTAATCTTGCAGTATTTCAGTTTTCAGATCAGCTACTAGTGCCCTGAATTATTTTTCAAGCCGTTTCCCTTCTTTGGAGATTCTTTTCCTTGTGATTGTCTTTATGGTAAATATGCCATTGATAAACTTGCTAGCAGATAATGCTTAAAATTGCCTGTAATCATCTGGTTGGTTTATAAGAGGTCTTACTTTCAATGGCCTGTTGGGTTCTATGCTCCAGAAAGTGGATGATGTCCATTATCTAGGGTAGCTTTCAGTTAAGAGCCCGTTTCATGAAAGCCATTGCTGAAATTGTGTATCTTTTGTTTGACTAAAAGATTGTAGGTCTTTTGAGGGTATTGTTGCTTCATCTCATTCTGGATAAGAATGTGTTTGGTAGGGTGTCAATTCAGTCATAAGGAAAGGGAACTTCTGTTTTAGAAAGTAAACTAAAATAATGTGTTTTCATGGAGACTTCATTGTTTCTTCTGAATAGGTCGTCTTCAGAGCGAGGTGTAACATGTAGAGTGATTTTCTGAAGGTGCAAGGGAACAAATGCTCCTTTTTATAATTTAGAATGAAAATAAAAATTATCAAATAAGATCTAATTAAACTTAAAAGCTTCTGCAGCAAAGGAAACCATAAACTAAACAAAAAGATTACAGAAGAGGAGAAAATATCTACAAATGAAGGGACACACAAGGGGTTACTCTCCAGACTATTTTAAACTTTAAAACTGTGGATCTGTATTACATTGTTAGTCTTCACGATTCTGATTGGTGGATATGTAATCTGGTCATACAGAGAAGGCAGTGGCAACCCACTCCAGTGTTCTTGCCTGGAGAATTCCAGGGACGGAGGAACCTGGAGGGCTGCCGTCTATGGGGTTGCACAGAGTCGGACACAACTGAAGTGACTTAGCAGCAGCAATCTGGTCATAAACAGGAACTGTTAAAAATCACATTTAGGATCTTCATGAATTCTGCAGCTTCTTGACTATATAAACTGCTTGAGTATAGGCTTTATTGGAAGACTTGCCACATTTTGAGAATGATCATAATAGTTTTGGAGGCTTGGAATGGTTAGAATTTTAGAACTGGAAAGCAACTTAAAGTCAAGAGAAGCTCTAGCACTTGTCAAGATCTTATAGCTAAGTTAGTAGTAGCAGGGTGGCGCCTAAAATTGAACTACTCTGTAATATATTTGAAATTTTAAAGAATTTTGCAAATCAGACATACGTTGAAAAGCTATTAAAATATTTTCATTAATCTCATTTCTCTTACAGTGAGAAGTGGATGTGAATAAAAATGGGAAGAACAAGTGAGCTTTTAAGTTCTTTTATTCACTTCTTCCTGTGCCAGAATTGAGAGGTTTTTCCCCCTTTTTTGAGGGGAAAGAATATTTAAAATGAACCTGATTTTGCCTTCAGAAGCAATGATGTTTACAAGAAATTACTGTTACACTTAGTAGTCTGTATCTTTTCTATAAACCAGTGGGACTGCTGTGCTAGCTGAAGCAGACTGTGTGCTAAGTCGATTCAGTCTTGTCCGACTCTGTGTGACCATATGGACTGTAGCCTGCCAGGCTCCTCTGTCCGTGGGATTTACCAGGCAAGAATACTGGAGTGGGTTACCATCTCCTCCTTCAGGGGATCTTCCCAACCTAGGGATTGAGCATGCGTCTGATGGTTCCCTAATGCTAGTATTAAGCACCTGCTATGCATAGTCCTGCACAAGGAGGAGTTGTCCTATGAAAAATGTCACTGAGAAATATTTATGTGAACATTGGATACCAACTGAGCTAAATCCTCAACAAGAAGGCTCCTTAAAATCATAAATGTTGAAAGTAGATACAGCTAATACCATGCCAGATACTCTACTAGTCAGTTTACCTAGAACCAGAAGGGCTTTTGTATAGTGGACATGTAAATTAAATCACGTTTAAATTTGTTGCATGATAGTAGCAAGAAACATAGAATTTATGTTAACTAAAATCTTTTAAGAAAAAAGAGAAATAATAGTGAGGGACTTCCCTGGTGGTCTAGTGGCTAAGACAGCTCCCAGTGCAGGGGGTGCGGGTTCCATCACTGGTCAGGAAACTAGATCCTGGATGCCACAACCAAGAGTTCCCATGCTGCAACTAAAGATTACACATGCCACAACTAAGGTCCGGCGCAGCCAAATTAATAATAATAATAAAAAGAGTGGGCCATGCCTCAGTCTTATATATATCTTAAAAAAAATAATAAATATAATACATGCTAAAGTACATATGTGATTTCTGTTCATGGTAATCATGTGCAAGAAGAAAGTTTTTGAGCCCCAGGATGAAATCTGGGATCAGACTTATGTTCAGAATACACCATTCATCAACTTTTAACTTGTCAACGCAGAGTAGTTACTTAAGTTCTTTAAAATATTTTTGCAGCAGAGTATATAGGATGATTATATAAGTAGCTGTTTATTTAAAAGTTAAACCTATAAAAAGGTATAAATTTAAAAGTGAAAGCACTGTTTCTCCTGCTTT